AGGGCCCCATGCTCTTGACGGGGGCCCTACATGCTAACCTGTCCTGGTGCATTCGATCGTTCAAAGCCCTACACATTGTGTCGTGAGTATTTCTTATTTGAATAGATGGCCCTATGTTCTTAGCAGGCCCCATTTATTCAGCTGCTCGGGCCGGTGTCGGGTGCAGAGGGTGGGGGGAAGCACAGGACCATGTCCCATGGACCATTCCGAGGGAACCTTAATGCTCCGAAGGGGCCCATAACCGGCTGGACGGACGCAGTTTCCTTACAACAAAAGCATAACAAAGTTGGATGCATTTGGGCCTACAGATGACCAAGAACCATTGCTAGCAAAAGTAATGAGCTCCTAAGTAAACGAAGTTCATTCTTCGCTGATTGAGAGAGAGTGTTCCTTGGGGAAAATTTTGGGGGTCATTACGCTACCTAGAGACATTACGCTGCTGGCTGTTTGTCCCTATATGTCCACTTGCTGCGTCAACCTGATCGCTAAGGGGCTTTCCAAATTCCCCTTAATCTCTTCCCATTTTTTCGTAGGGCCCAATGTGCTGTTGGAACGCACTCTGCCTCCATGTTTGAGCACTGTTGATCAATCGGGTTTCCTCCACGGATTTTTCCCATTCGCCCGAAAGACTACATACACTTTTTCCGGGGCCGCATATGCCAGAGTACACTCAGTTGCTCACGTGTCCTTCATATGATTCTCAGGTACTTTCTACTTGCTTGAAGGGTCTTGTGCCCTTGCCAGGGCTCTTATAAGGTGAGGCACGGAGCCGTTCGATGCTCAGGGGCCCCTTACTTTGATCAAGGGCTCTCTCCCTTTGGTCTCATTTGCGGCTGACTTTTCACTCCTATCGAGACTCGTGTTCTTAACCTGCCCGTGCACTCTTGACTGCACAGGGGTATTAATGTATAGTCTTAAATAATTCCCCTTTGCTCGGAGGGTCCTGTGCCATGACCGGGGCTTTATAGGTCAGCCTGTCGAGGCACTGCCGATCGTTTAGGGGCCCACCACGTGGGTCCACGACATTGGCCCACCACGTAAGTTCTTTTCGCTTGCTCTGTGGACCCCATACTTGTTGACGGGAGTCACTGTGTTGGTCTCCTGCGGCGCCCATGGCCGCTCAGGTTCCGTCCCTATTGGCCTTGGTGCCTTCGCCTTTGAGCAGCAGTCCAATATGCGCCGATGAATTTTTATGCGCAATTCCCGAACGTAATTACACATGCCTCCGCCGTCGTATGCGTCATTTCCACCGGCTATTCAGTGTGTCACACTCATTTAGATGTACGTTCAACCTTCACGGGATCCCATAGGCGTAGAAATGTTTCAAAAAGTGTGGTGGGGGGGGGGGGGGTAAAGCTCAGGGTGTACTTCAGGAACTTTTTCTGGAAAGCGAGCCCGTTAACGGGGGGAGGGGTGTAGAGATGTAGGTTGTTACCGCTCTTTACTCAAATGTCATGGCTGCTATGCTAGATATGCATCTGGAGCTGTTTCTCACTGTCGCACAATCTTGCCTGCTCGACTCATCTGTCATTTGGCAAATAGGGCTATCCAGCTTCCCTAGATTATTCGTTCATTTTAACATTGTCTTTCCTGGGGAGACGAAATTCCACGAGTGGGTAGGCACTTTGGGTCACTGGGGAAGCATCTGCCTCCACAGTGTAGATGTTAAAATACGGCCTGGAGATAGGCTGGCGAGAATTTTGAAAACGGATCGATGGCTCGCAGTGCGACGGATTTTTCATGCGCCTTCATTTCGCTGGCTGCTTTTCAAGAGGTACGACTTACCTTAGCACTTTAGGCGGAAACAATTCTGGACTTGAAACTGCTAGAAACAATGACAAAAGCCATCACACTGGATGTCCTCTTTTAAGAATCAAGCCCCATAATAATGCCCATCTGTCATATGTTCGTTATCTGGGCGCTGCTCCTGTTCGCCGTCGGTGGCCACTGTCCTGGCCCGGACGCCTCCTGCATGACTGAGGGGACATAACAACGGTTAACAAGTGACACGGTTTTCTTCGTTTTGTTGTTATTCTTACCTTGTGACCAGAACAGAAACCAAGAGCTACCGTGAGCTCAATTCTGATTGTATTTTGAGGTCAGCAAACTACAGAAATCAGTTGCTGAACGACTGAAAGGTATCAATCACCGGCGCTGTTAATTTACAATGGTTAGTTGACGCTTTCTAATTCGATAGAATTTAGAAGCCGTGTCAAAATTGTGATCTGGGTTCTATCGACATTGAGGACATTGTGAAGTTAGATTGTAGATCGATGTGATTGATCCAAATTTTAAGATGAATATTTGATTGCAGGTAGAGTGATCAACAATGTATTTGAACATGGCCAAACCATTTTGTCTGCAAATGCTCACCATTCAGTCAGAATCGATTAGTGGTACAATTTATGCAACGTGGTTTTTAACATGCGCACTCGCAAACCTTAGCAACAAAAACCTCGACACCAGGCGTTGCAGTCTCCATAGTCCGCGGAGCGTTAGCCCATTAGCTAATACTTAGCCGTGGCCCACCAGTGGACGAAAATGATGACGCTTCTGAAATGATTATATTTAAACACCGTAATCGACTAGTAACACAAGTTATGTGATGTAATTTTGAGCATACGCACTCGAAAATCTTAGAAACACTAGTCCCGACCCCAGGCGTCGCAGTCTCCGTAGGCTGCACAGCGTCGGCCTGGCAGCTAATATTAAGTTGTGGCCAACGTGTGGACGAAAATGATGACGCTTCTGAAAAAGTATCCTTGAACTCTTCATGACATCAGGACTTACATTTAGAAGGCGGTCTGAACGCATATTTCACGTGTGCAATTTTAGACCGATGAAAAGAACGGATTGGCCCTTAAAGCACCGCGAAGTGGGGCTCGAATTTGTTGGTTGAACTGGAAGTGTGAAAGTAAAATCTCTATTTTTGGTGTTTTTTGCAGCTATTTATCTATCCAGATGACAAATTAACACGGCGCCCGCCATCTGGTGACACTTGCAGTGGCCGAAACTTATCGGTTTTACGGAAGCTGCAACCCAGACCATCCTTGTCCTTGCTCTCGAGGTTGCGAGCGGGCATGTTCAAGCCTTTTGATGCAATTTGTTTCAAACATACATTCTGAAAAAAATGAACGTTCTCAGGCAAACATGGCACGACCTCGCTCGTTTTTTAAACTCGTTTCGTTCCATCCTATTCAACAATAATGAGACACCCATTTACTCAACAATAATGGGACCCATTATTTCCTTCCGGGCAAGGGGCCTCTTGAGTAGAACACCAGGGGTACGTTACCGTTTCCGGTCAAGGGCTGAAGGGCCATTACGTCCCATCGCAAAGTGTCCTCAGGCTATCATTCTGGTGGCACGGGGCGGGATTTTCTGGTCGATCCGGATGCTATTAAAAATATATATATAATATCACGTTGTTCCCATCCGTGACACAGGAGGCCTTCTGACCCGCGCAGTTAGCCCCGGATCAGCACAGTAACCCTCATTGATGCAACAACATCCTTGCTCACTGCAGGTAGTCTGATGGTTGTCACATAGACTCCAGTTCCGTGTTTTTCTGTGTTTTTCAGAGATATTGATTTCTCCCGACTGTAAATGGGAGATGAAATGAGGTTCTTAAGTTGAACCAACGTGGCTAACCCATGTTCGTCTTAAAATACTCAAGATCATGTCAAAACTGATTACTGATAAGAAAATGGTCTTGAACATGCGAGCTCGCAAGTCATAGCAGTAAAAGCCTCGACGCCCGGCGTTGCAGTCTCCAGGCCGTGCGGCGCCGGTATTGTGGCTGAACACTAAGCGATGGCCAATGAGCAAACGAAAAAGATAACGCATCTTGAGGGAGATGGCTGGTGAACTCGGTAACTCGGCATGTGTGTTTATTGTAGAGCAAAAGTAAGTCAAATGCAACCTTAATCTGAAAAGTGGGGGCCGGTTAACATTGCTGCCCCCCACCTTGAAAAGTGGGAAGGGGGTATGGCCCCCTGGCCCCCCTGTTCCTACGCCCATGTGGGATCCTCAATATCTCTGTAGGGCGTCGACTCCCTCCCCCTAGCATTAGAAACTACGGTGGTGCTCGCTATGAAAAGCCCTTTTTAGAATTCATTCCGCTTAGAAGTGAAGCGAGCTGGCATCATCAGGCCACGCCGATAGACCATTAAGCCACACCCTTAACAGCGGCCGTCGTCGAAATTCGAACCCGAGTTTACCGCGTGCGAGGCCAGCACGCTATCCTTCCATCCACTGGAAATGCGGGCCCGGCGGCCGAAAATTCGTGATTAGAATAGAAATGGTTCAGAGTGAGTTGGTGGATTTCGTGACCGTTTGATGTCCATCACGCATAAAACCGACTTTTCGCACGGGGTTCTGCATTTTGCACCTTCTCCCCTACAGGACTGCCAATCCGCGTATGCTTGACACGTACAACCACCTGAAAGATTTTTGGACGGTGTATAAGTCCGCTGCGTAACCACCCTCTGTTTTGGAGGGTGTATGAGCCCGATGCGTAACCACCCTCCGTTTTGGAGGATGTATACGCACCGCCTTCTGCAAAATGAGTGCTCTCGGTTCCGGATGTTTTTGGGTGTTTTTTTAAGCTTACCCAAGGTCACCACGTTTCAGGGATGTTGAGTTTGTGATCATAGGTCATCAGTTGGGAAAGGTCTCGTGCGTTCAGCCCTAACGGCTTGGAACATATGTACCCATATGTTTAGATGTTCTGCAGACTACTCCCGGTGATTTTGGCACTTTTATTGATCTTTGACGTTAGGGATATTTTGAACACGATCCAAGGTCACTGCGTTTCGGCTGTAATTAGTTGTAGGTTATGGCGTGTCGATTGGTAAGCATTTTGTGCTGATCATCCCCGTGGGCTCAGAGTTTGGGGTTGTCAATAAGTTTTGTCTATCGTTTAGTCCCTCTCGTTTACAACAGCGTTGGGGCGGCACTGCGCCACGTTTTGGACCTCGCTTTATTGGTGCCTGGCGAGACCGTGTGCATGGTGCGTGGTCCGCGGTTGGGCTGTCCGGGACCGATAAAAGCTGGGAGGCATTGTGTGTGGGATATTGCCAGCTTCGAGCGTTAGTTTTTGCAGTTTACGGCATAACTGCGGTGACGGTTGGCATTTGGGTGCTCATACGTGAGTCAAAGCTGCTTTGCAAATATTGAGGACTCGGAACAACATAGAATAATGCCGAACATCAAGGTCTTTTCGGGAAGCTCTCATCCTGACTTCGCCGCTAAAGTGGTGGATCGCCTAGGCATAGAGCTTGGCCGGGTGGTCACCAAGAAGTTCAGCAATTTGGAGACTTGTGTGGAAATCGGGGAGTCTGTCCGTGGTGAAGATGTGTACATTGTGCAAAGTGGCTGTGGAGAGATAAATGACAACCTGATGGAACTTTTGATCATGATAAATGCATGCAAGATAGCATCTGCTGCCCGGGTTACAGCTGTGATCCCCTGCTTTCCATATGCCAGGCAGGACAAGAAAGATAAGTCAAGAGCCCCAGTGTCAGCAAAGCTTGTGGCAAACATGTTGACTGTTGCTGGCATGGATCATATCATCACCATGGATCTGCATGCCTCTCAGATTCAAGGCTTTTTTGATCTGCCTGTGGACAATCTGTATGCTGAGCCAGCAGTGCTGAAGTGGATCAAAGAAAATATCGCAGACTGGAAGACAAGCATCATTGTTTCACCAGATGCAGGGGGAGCCAAGCGTGTGACCTCCATTGCAGACAGCCTGAAGGTGGACTTTGCACTCATTCACAAGGAGAGGAAGAAGGCCAATGAAGTGTCTGACATGGTCCTTGTTGGCAATGTCACTGACAGGGTTGCCATCCTGGTGGACGACATGGCTGACACCTGTGGAACTGTAGTCAAGGCAGCAGACAAACTGAAGGAAGCAGGTGCTACTAAAGTTTATGCTATCCTGACACATGGTATTTTCTCAGGTCCAGCCATATCCAGAATCAATGGTGCATGCTTTGAGGCAGTGGTTGCCACCAACACCATTCCCCAGGATGAGCACATGATCCAGTGTGACAAGATCAGGTGCATTGACGTTGCAATGATATTTGCTGAGGCCCTGAGGAGAACCCACAATGGCGAGTCAGTCTCCTACCTCTTTGCAAATGTTCCATATTAGGCCAGTTGTCTTGATTACCTCATGAGAGAGGAGACAGAGTTAGATGGCTATGGGCAAGGATTATGGGGCATTTGGCTGCATGTTGCTGTAAGAAAGAGAATGTTTGTTTTGTTAGTGTTTGTCCAAAGCACAAAGTGCATGACAAACACTCATTTATTCTGAACCTGTTTGCAAACATTGCACTAGGATTGATCAGTTCAAGTTGACTGACATGATTATTCTAGAGCATCCTGTGCCATCATTGTGCAATATGTGAGCCATCTGCAGAAATGATAAAATCATTCCAATGCGGTTATATAGCGTCATTTGTGTTATTTTGAACACATAACTTAGTCTGGTAATCACCCAGTCTGGTAATCACCCAAACCCCTGAAGCACCTGCTGGATGGTGGCAGTTTGAAAACATAATCTGGTCTGATAATCAGCAAAACCCTGAAGACACCAAATGTAGGATGTGGAGTTTGGGCTGCCAGTGGGCTTATGGTAGCTATTTAGTTAAAAAGCCATGGCAAAGGTTATCTCATATGTTGGCTCTTGATGCATGTTGATGTGCATGGTTCTGCTGACTGACTCAGCAAGTCAGCAGTAATACTCAACACTATGGTATGCATTTGTAACAGGAACAAGCAAGTATGCTTTGCTCAAGTGAATTCAATATTATTTTGCAGGCATGTTTATCATGTGGCAGTATAATAGGAACAGTGTAGTTTTGAAGAAGGTTATCAAATATGTTCAGTGGTCACTCAGAACTTTCTTTATTTCTGTGTTGCCCTGAGGATCATGCTATCTGATTGGTTGAAAGGCTGGCCTTTTTGTAGAATTTTTGTTGTGCCTGGTTGTGTATGTGGATGATTATGGTGCTTGACCGGTCAATATATTGATTACCTATATATTGGGTTTCAAGTTCTGACCAGGCCTGAAAAGTGCGATGATTAGACTGCGTGTCTGAGATCAGGCTGCGCGTCTGGGATCAGGCTGCGCGTCTGAGATCGTGCTGCGCGTTTGAGATCAGGTGACGTGGTCGAGCCGCTGGTGCCTGTTGCATAACGCGAAGTTGCCACGCTTTCGCTGGCCTTAGCATTTGAAATAGCGTGATTCAGTGGCAACTATGTATGACAAGCTCCTTTGCAGGTAAGTGACAAAAGTGTGGCACAGTTATGGTCACAGCTCTGGAAACCAGTGCGACCACAGGTGGATGCAGCGCAAGATCTTTTTGAACCGTTTAACCATTTCAAGCTGGATGCCGCTAGATGGATTCGACGGTGCCGTGTATTGCGAATAGATATGCTATATATACATACATATATATATATATATATATATATATATATATATATATATATATATATATATATATATTATACAGTGCCTTATTGCCAATAGATAAACATGGAGCGACCATTTCAGCAAAAATCAAATTTAAACGTGTCCGGATCGGACTCGCCTGATCTAGACACGGTCGCTGCCACAAGGGGACTGTGCCGGCTGACGGAGGAGAGGATGAGAACTTCACTGGCAAAAAACTACGCCGATGTGTGCTGCCGGCAACGCGCACTCAAGCACGTACCATGAATCCACCCGCGTGTTGAACGTTTTGAAGTGTGTGGCCGATCTCGACAACCGAGCAGCGAAGGACGCGATGTCGGCCGCACGGCGTTTGGGTCTGTTCTGAAAATTCGTTGCGACGTGAATACCGTCCAGCCGTAACTGCGCCGTTGTTTGGTGGTAGCGCGACCTGAGCCGCCCATTGGGGCCGCGGCGCGATGGAGCAGACTTGTGAATTGGCGCGGGAACGAACCATGGGTGAACTTCTGCCGGCTGAACCCTGAAGACTGACACTCCGATGCGTAACGCTGGTTTGCGCGGACTTCCAAGCGCGACTGGCTGTACTAGCTCAGGTGTTCCACCGGAGCATGTGCCCGACGACCACGCCAGCCAACTAAAACAGCACATGACCTCGCCTAACAACTAAACCAATCTCGCTCCCCCAGGCCGCACGAGGCGTTCCGCCTGCTGCGATGCCAGTATTGCGAACCATAAGTCCTCTTTTCGGCGGTGCTTCGTAATGTAATCGGACCAGCGGTGTGAGTAGCAATGGCCGTCGCATGTGCCCTTCAAGACAAACTATCCTGTACCCCGCCTCTTAGCAGCCAACGCGCCGGCTGCGCTGGCGGCCGGTGACCGGGAGCCGACAGGAAGCATCCAGTTACACCCCCATCCAGCGGCAGCGGCCGGTCGTACCGGCTGACCGCTGGGCTCGGTCAGCTCCTGCGCCGCCGCTGAGGAAGTGGCGCCCCCGGCGCCGGACGCCAGGCTGGCACGTCTCCAACGGACCCAGCGGGTGTCCCGGGTAGCAACCGCCCACGCTGCAAGGTGCCGTTATTCGCCGCCAAGGTTGGCGCTGTTTGTGGCGCTCTAGGACATTTAGTGGCGGCGAACATGACTGGAAACTCAGGGGGAGAGAATCGCACATGCCACCACGAATTTCAGGTCAAGCGATTTTCGACCAGAGATATGAGATGACAGTGTCGCAGTAGATCAGTGACGTCACGCGAGGCTTGAGCCTCCCGACCCCCTCCAAATAAAAGTAGCACAAGGAACATTAGACATGCGACATACGGTAGGCATCTATAACAGCTACACCCCGGCCGGGGCCTTCTCGCACGTGCGCCACTGTCCCGCGGACTGGGGTACAGATGATCTCGGAAGGGGGGGGGGGACAAGCCGAACTGGGGGGGGACTTGTCTTGTGGTGGAATTAACCAGACTTTGAAAAGCCAATTACCTTGCCGCCATTGGAGAAGCTTAAAATCAGCTTTTTGGCAAATTGAGGACGCTGCTCCGTGAGTCCACTCAGCCACTCAGCCTCCTCGCGGAGGGAGCTAAGTGCGCACGCCTCTGTGTCCCTGTGCAGGTGCCATCAGCCCCTGGGGAATCCCATCGCTATCATGGGTGGTTCTCTCCTTGAGGCGTGCTCGTGCAACTGAAGGTGGGGCGGCCCATGTCCGATATCGGGCACGGTGTGGGCGGGGACACAGCTTCAGTCTTGTCATGTAGCATCATAGCAGTCACATTTCCCCCCGTTTAGGGCGACCGCTCGAGTTATGATTGTGGTGAGAGCCGCAAGCATCCCAAGCAGTGTCGAATAAGGCAAATGCTGTTTATTCGTTCTCCAGAGAACTGCCAACCATCGCTGCTTACCAGTGTTTTTGCTTCTCCAACCAAACATAGCACGCGCCATCTTGCAAGCCCAATGAGCGTCTCTGGTGTTGCGACACCAGAGCCCTACGACGGGTCTGGTCGTGACGTCACTCCTCAGGCTCCCGAGCAGATACGAAACACCGCAGTGATTCTTCCGTTCCCGTAAACACTACACGTCCCACTCATGCCTTTGTCTTGCAAGGGTTGCATTGCATGTCTTGTTACTTAAACATGGGGATGATGATGACGATGGTGATAAACCTAACGACATTACAGCTACTGGCTTGGCTAGATATGAACACGACACGAAAGTTCAACCAGTCCTCACAACCGCCTACTGCAAACTCCGTCGGACGTCATCGGTTTATTGTGACCAATCATGACTGATTGCGGCCAATCGCACGGCAGGCCACACGGCCGGTTTGCGGCTGTCACGTGCCGCGTCGGCCGCCGGCCGTCCGCGCCGCTGGGCTGGGCCGTCGGCCGAGGTCGACGCGCTCCTGCCGGCCGCAGAGCAGAGCCGCGCGCAGCCGGAGCCCATCGGCGGGCCGGCACGGACTCAGTGGACTCGGCTGTCGGGGGAGAGTCCGGTCAGCGCTCTGACACGCCGCGCGCGCGCCGAGCGGGGCGCCGACGAGTGCGTCACTTCAGGCATTCCGAGCACGAGCGACGCCCACGGGTCGTTCCCCGTCAGTGCAGTGCGACACCGTACACCTGGACGGTACGCGTCCGACGAGCTACGACACGGCGGTGGGGAGGCGTTCCCCGGCGCAGGGGTTTGACTCACCCGCTCAGCGACCTCTGTGGCGCGCAGTGGAGCGACCGCCGCTCCGGCGCGCGGCGCGCGGTGGACGGAAGTGGCCTCCTAGGTCAGGCTGGCGCCGCTCTAGCCGCCATCAGCCTGGTCCACAGACCGGCGGGTCAACCAGGGGTGGCCAGGAGGCTGTCGAAGCTGGGTTTGCCGCGGTGGCGCGGCTGGGACAGAAACAATGGGGAAAAACTGGCGATGGTCCCGTCGAGTCGCCAAAAAACAAAATGAACGTTATGGCGCGATCGCGGATCGAGCGAGGAGATAAACAGCATGGCGACCAGTCAGAAATATACAGCATAATCACAAGTAAGCGAAGACGATTATCACCATTGTTACAAATCACAGGACGTGCAGGGGAGCGCGAGCACATGTCCCACGGAGCGCGGAAACACAAACACCGGCCAGAACGCGGGCGTAGTCCCAGTATAAAATATATAACAAAAAAAAAACCACAAGGCAGGACCCGAGAAACGTCCGTCCAAACCTGCAACTGACGTCTTACCACACGAGCAAGCCGAACCAGAGATGCAACGCTCCCATTTTCCCATTCCCCTCAGGACGCTCCGCCCGGCGCGGCTGCACCCACGGTCACGCTTACGAGAGCCATCCAGTGTTACGTGACGGCGACCGAGAGCGGGTGACGTGGGCTTGGCAGCGTCTGGCGCGGGGCAACTCACCCTCAGCCCAGCCCGCACCGTCTCCTACCTGACGAGGTCTCAGCGCGCTAGCCTGGCGCCGGCGCTGACCATCGCGGTCGGCAGGTCTGACCTGACCTGACCTCTCATCACTAATGCACAGACGCTCGCAGGCCGGCCTCGGTGCCGTCTGGCCCGGCCCCGCCTACTCTCCAGCCGGCCGCGCGCCGCTCACAGCGACTTCCCTCCCGGCGAGCGGAGCACGCCGCCACGCACTGCCCGCGAGCCTATCTCGAGCGTCCGGCGGCTACTCACGGGTCACGAGGCCGCGGCCGACCGCTGCTCCGCACTCGCCCGTCTCCACACCGCGTTACAAAAGGTCAAGGCTCCAGCCAGCCGCGGGCTGTTGAGACATTTGCTCTTAAACGCTAAGACAACCACCGACAACCGCCACGCTTCATGCTCATGCTGCTCGCCTTAATGACGCCGGCTTCGTGGACATGGTCCGCGCCTGCCCAACGGTCTCGCTCCTACAGGGCCGAACAGCATTTCGGGCGACTCTTCCACCCTCCGCATCACACAAAGCTACTGGGCGTCTGGCCACATCTCTCGCTCGATACAAATGCCGCAGATTTCGAAACCTTTATTACACAATGAAGGTATGACTTGCGGCGACCGAACGCATCTGAAGTACAGCACTTCTCCGCTGGGAGAATCGCACCGGGGTATGTGCGGGATCGCGTCCTCCGAAGGCGGCGTGAAAACACGATTTGTCTTATCAACAGAGATCTCTTCACTCTGTCCACGCCCAGATCTGCCGGCGCCAGCGTGAGGACGCCATACGGCCACGCGGCCACTGATCGGTCCCCAGCATCGGTAGACGTTACCGACTGCCGCCCGCCCCTTACGACCACGAGGCGCTACACCAGGGCTGCTCTGTCATCATCAAGAGCACGGCGCGAAGGAACGCTCAACAGTCCGCTCCAGCGCTTCCAAAATCAATGACAAAAGACATTAACACACGACAATGATGCGATGAAAGCAAGTGAAGTAATACCCTAATGAACTCCATGCGTAAAACACTACTCGGTCTTAAGGAACTGGAAACGCTGCCGCACGCTCTCTAAGCGCCAATGCGTCCACATGGCCGGCCATCATTGTTCGGTGCCCTGCTTTATCGTCCACGCTCCGTCCATCCTCTGTCCTCCTTCCCTCTCTTTCAGTCTCTCATTCTTCCTACATCCGTCGTTCCTCCTGTCGCCAGACACCCCTCACCAGGCCGCCAAGGCCCCGCCGCTCCCTCCCCACCATCTGTCCTCAGCCACTCCGGCTTCGGGTGCACGCTACTACGGCTCTGACCACGAGCTGACACGCAAACTATTGCCAACCTCCACCTAGAACAGACGAGGGCACACGTCGTCAGATACGGTACTTTCTCGGCGGCAGTCTGGCCCGCTTCTCCAGTAGTAACCTCGGCAAATTTGGTCATCAAACCTGACATTATCGCGGGCGACGTGCGGCCCCAAAATACGAACGCCCACAAAAACCGTGAGCAAGCAACATCCCGCATGTGCGGATTTAGCACTTACTACGCACTCAGCAATTCAAACGTTACCACTCACACCTCTTTCATCACGTTGCATCGACAGAGTTAGCACACCTAATGGCCGGCGGACTTGGGCCCCATTAACGCGCGCCCGCGCCTGGCTCAACCCGAGCGCCATCGTGCTTTCTCTTTCTCTCTTTTTCTCTTTCTCGCGCCCCGTTGCACTATAGCATGCCTTCCAGCTCTCCTTTCAAAGTCTGACCACACCGTGACCGCGATGTGGCGGCAACCACCACGATTCCGCGTCCATTTCCGTGCAGCCGGATTGATGCCAGCGTAGAGGGCGATACATACCTGTCTCGTAGCCGTAGCCATTCGAATAGCCGTTGCCTGCGTAGCCGGCGTCGTACGATCTGTCGTCTGGTGGTACCGCCAGAGCCGTGTGTTAAAATCGCTACGGTAAAGGGCGCCGTCCATACCGAAATGCATTCGCCACAGTCCCGGACACAGAAATCAGCGAGAAACGCATTGCATACGTAAGTGAAAAACTGAAATTACGCTAACACATCCAAAAACCGGGGGATGTCAAACCGCCCATCCAAAGCTTCCCACAAACATACTGAGTTTCAACAACGCGCATCGCAGCACCATGAAGGTGCTTACATCGCGGCGTTCAGATGCACAACCCATCGTTTCGCACACCGGCGAATGAGCAAAGCCATGAAGTGTTATCAAAGGCCGACTTGAGCCTTGTTCATGTGACATAGCGGTGAGAACACGGGATCAGAAGGCCCGGCCTAGCGGGAGACTGTTGCTGCGCGCGACTGCATCGGGTTCATATTCTGCAAGCACACACTGAAGTGAATGACTCACCGTAGCCATTGCCGTAGTGCTGGCCGTCTCCGTAAGAATCGTCGCGACCGCTGGAACATGACATGTCGAGGCTTTACACATGGCCCGGGACAAAACCGTCAGACGAAACGACAACCAACCGAGGCGACGACAAGAGGCAATAGAAAAACAGCAGCAGGCTAAACGAAACAGCGGCAAACAATTTGCCATCACATAGTGTGGTACAGGGCACCACCGGGGCCAGGACGTTACCTCGGGTAATAACAGCTTGGCAAACATGGACACGCTATATGCATTATCACCACTTTAAGTGTTAAATGTCAAAGCCAATCATTTGGAGAAATGCATTCACACGATGGCTCCATGGTTCTAGCTTGATGGTAATTGACATCTTCATGGTGCATTAAGAGGAATGTAGATCACTCACTAAGGCCGCTTGCCATAACCAGGCTCCATTGGTTCTGAATCGTATGTAGAATAACTACAAAAGAATAAAAGAAAAAAAGGCGTTAGTCAAAACAAACAACGCTACGCCAAGCACACAAAGGAGACCATAAATCAAACGGAAGTACACCAAATGCTTATAACCGCAATAGCTTAAGCTCCAAAATGGGCACTGATGCGCCCAACTCAAACGTCAAGCAACTGCATACCGCATGTCACATACAGATCTACAGCAAAAGAAAAAGGTGTTGTTGCGCGAACGTACGACAACTCACAATCCACCAACATTCACACCAGATGACAGTGGACTCTGCATTGCGGGGTAACTCACCCCGCGTCATGGCCGCGATCTCCTCCGTAGCCGCGATCTCCGCCATAGCCGCGCTCTCCACCGTAGCCGCGCTCTCCACCGTAGCCGCGCTCATCATAGCCGCCACGCTCTCCGCCGTAGCCGCCCCAGTCACCGCCGCCCACGAAGCGGCCGCGCTTGGCCGGCGGTGCGTCCGCGTAGGGCGCGCGCTCCTCTTCGTAGTGGCTGCTGCGACCACGGCCACGACCCTCGAAGCCGCCGCGTCCGCGCGGCATGTAGCCACCGCGGGGCTCGTAGCCGCCGCGGCCCCGCGGACCGCCGCCCCTGGGCCCGAAGCCACGCCGCGGCTCGTAGCCACCGCGTGACTCGTAGCCGCCGCGCGGCTCAGCGCCGCCCCTGGGCTCGTAGTCGCCGCGCGGCTCATCGCCGCCGCGGCCGCGGCTCGGGTACCCGCCGCGGGGGTCGTAGCCCCCGCGGCCGCGCGGGCCGTAGCCCTCGCGCGGCTCGAAGCCGCCGCGCGGCGCGTAGCCGCCGCGGTAGCAGCCCGGGTCCCCGAAACCGCCGCGGCCCCCGCGGTCCAGACCGCCGCGACCGCGGAAGCCGCGGAAACCGCGCTCGCCACGGCCGCGGTAGCCGCCGCGCTCCAGCTCGGGGCCGCCGCGGAACCCGCCGCGCTCGTAGCCGCCCCTGCCAACCGAGCGACAGGGTGAGACGGCCGCCCACAGAGCCGGGCGGAGGCACTGCCGGCGGCTAATGGCCCCACACAGACGGGGCTGATATCTAGCAGTGCATGTACAACAGGACCTCAACAATGATGTGGACATGTTAGGGTCACAGTGATTGCTACTGTGGATCTAGGTGACAGAGCTCATATGAAGAGGACAGGTTTGGTTATGGTCCATTTGCAACAGAGGGCTAATAAGGTCAATGACACTAATGCAGGTAGCAGTTGCAAACAAGCATAGCACAGCCACAAATTCAGGAAAGTGGGAATTTAGGTAACTGGCAATGTTGGCAGACATGGACACAAAAAACACAGCACCTAAGAATGCATGACATAGCCTTCTTCAGCCTATCAACACAAATCTGGGTCAACATTTCACATGCTGTGAGCCACAAAGGTGATGCTAACCTATCCTGAAAGCTTGTTTTTACTTTAGCCTAGCAGCACTCTAGGTGACACAGATACAGAAAAAGACCCTATCAGCTTTGCTCATTTATTCCAAGCACCCGACTTGAATATATGCACAATATGTCAGACTGTCGCTAATACACACCCCAGCTAGTTAATGTCACAGACTGAACAGCAGCCCTACCTGCCGCGCCCACGCATCATGCCTCGGCCTCGGAAGTCGCCCCTGCCACGGGGCACATATCCAAAGTCATCCCCAATGTCCATTGAGACAAATCTGTTGGGAAGAAACATATTTATATGTAAGCAAGACCACCCATGTGTACACGCTTGAATAAAGACTGAATCTCAAATAACCAACATGTGATGTCATGATGAACCAAATGCAAGGTAGCTTAAAAAACAGACAACTAGATGCAACCAATCCAGACAGAAACAGCATTAAAAGCCTAAAATATTGGTTGACAATTTTTACAAATGGGTTGGACTTCCAAAGCAGGCTGCAAAATGTACATTTTACATTGTCATACCCAACCAGTGTAGCATTTCCTGAGTTGGTTGATGCATGAAAATCAATTTCAATGCACAGAATGCCAATACTTCCAGAATATATGATGATGTATGATGTTGTGGTGGTCCATAACATAAATGCTTTGACAATTTGACACAACTTATTCAGATATTCCATTCAATCCAGCCTAGCCTTAGATTGACACATAAGATTCAACAACCCAATGCTGTGTGGGCACCCCACAAGTTGGATCAAATTTATGTGGACTAATAATTACCTGAGCAGAAAAGTGCAGCACTAGCACCTTAATAGGACAGGGTAGACATTGCTACCTCATGTTAAGAAAGAGCATTGTACATCAATCCTCATGCTGTGTGGGCACCCCACAAGTTGGATCAAATTTATGTGGACTAATAATTACCTGAGCAGAAAAGTGCAGCACTAGCACCTTAATAGGTCAGGGTAGACATTGCTACCTCATGTTAAGAAAGAGCATTGTACATCAATCCTCATTTTTAAGGCAGAACATATCATAATTAATCTGAAACAGGTCGTCTAAGCTCTTATCTTGAAACTTAAGTAACTATGATAGCAAATAGTGAACATGCAAACATCCGAGGGCAAACGCAGCAACCACGACCACGGTCCGGGTGCCATTTCTAGGTGATCGCAACATTACTGCCTGATGACAACATTACTGCGCATCAAGAACTATAGAACTGTATGAGGCCAAGGTAAGAAGAATTCAATATAATGTGTTTCTCAAGGAGTCTTTCATATTGTTTGTAGATTGGTCAACATGGTGGGGAAATATGACATTTCTGTGTCTGAATGAAAGCAAAATTAAAATATGGCGGCAAAACAAAACTTCTTCATATGGCACATATATATGGCATGGAACATGGATGCCAATGAGACACTGGGTTGAAGGGGATAGGGTGGGGGTTAGGTTAGGTTAGGTTAGGATAGGTTAGATTATGTTATGTTAGGTTAGGTTATGTTGTTTGGCTAGGCTAGGCTACATTCAGTTACACTAGGTTAGGTTAGGTTAGGTTAGGTTAGGTTAGGCCAGGCTAGTTTAGTTAAGGCTATGTTCTGGACTATTCTGGCCTGTCCATTTCATAAATGTACCTAGACCCGATGAGCAACGCTTTTCATTGCATTTTTATTGTTACCTTGGGCCGGTACATTTTTTATGGTTCTTGACAAGCAGAAATATTGTAATTACGCAACAGCAACACAGAAACAGCGCTGGGGAGTAGCAGCCGTGGGGTGCGTGCGGTGCTCAGGAGCTCGCTGTTGTAAATATTACAATTTGAAGGAAGGAGCATGAATCTACCTGTTTTGGGATTATTTACGATATGTTCTGCCTGAAACATGACAAACGGTGTACGATTTTTTCTAACATTAGGTAGCGATGTATACCTACACCCCTTAATATCATTACACCCAAAATACAAATAAGCCCAAGGATGTGTTTTGTGTTTCATGTCAGGTACACACGGAGTGGGAAGTTCAGTCATGATTCACATGTTAACATATATGGCCAAAATACGTATGCCATAACTTCGCTGGGGGCGTTTGCAGGCAAGCAAGAAGATACACCTACCTACTCATTGATCACTTACCCGTCCGTGATTGATTCTCGGTCACTTTACGCACAATTGTCAGTCCCCGAATTCCCAGTCCTTTAAAGAAGTCAACGGAAGCTGAACTAAAAATACGCGCCACCTCCTAACGAGCCCCAACCCAGCCAGCGACCACTTGATCCAGCGCCGGTAACCGCCGCACAATCACAGTTCTCACAAATGCATCAAATAGGTGCTGATAATATGGCGCATAAACAAAAAAAACGTATGCTTTCCTGTTTCAAATACACGAAAGGGTCATACAGTCTAAAGTGTATGTCGGACCTTCGCGGTTCAGATTAGAAATAAAATATGTACGAAGTCTATTTAATTCTTTCAAATAAAAATGAAAACTGATATTATATTATGGGATGAGGCAGCGCTCCTTTTCCGGCGTCAACACAAGCCGATGTGAGTGTAGAGTCACTGCCGGCACCGTTTAGTTATCTATGTTTTGCTGGTATTGTTAAAAAATGAAATAGCGACATGATTGTTCGTTTCTTTGTGGAAGATAGTCGATTTCATTCCGTGGGTGGTTCTGGTCCGTGAATATTGGAGTTTCGCTTTGTTGATCCATTTATTGCGCACTAGTTCCGAAGTTGGGGAGAATAGATGCCTTTTTCTTGCGCCTGTACGCCATCAAAAAGGGAGTGTACGTGTGCTACGGAAAGGCTTAAAATGCACATTGCTTTGAGTGTGTCTGGTGTAGTAGTAACAACATTTTATGCTTGAGTATGCCCGTAATTCTAGTGTCCCCAGCTCGGTGTGCAGCCTCCATTAATATCACCGCATGAGGGTTGGTTTTTCAAGGAATTATGACATTTTAATAGAGCCTTATTTGGTGCTTAATCATGAATTAAATATTGATCAAGCAAACAGGTAAAAAACAGCCTATTTAGTTTGCAGGTGTCTGGTCCACTTTCACCAGCAATTGCTTACCAATTTAATGCATGGTACAGTGGAACTTTTGTGCATGGTGCATGGAACTTTTTGCAGACTTAACTCCACACCAGGTGCATGCATCCTCCAGAATGGAGTGTAAATATGTAGTGATCAAACATTTGAAGGCTGACTTGTATGTATTGGTTTACCATCACCCAGTTACTTGAAAGGATTGGAACATTGATATTTACATGTTAGACTCCCATATGGGGGCCCAGGCTGGAGCCCTGATTTTGCTGTGAGTCCTGACTCCTGGCACTTAAATAATCAACAGATGCCTCTTTCATTGATACTAGTGGTGCCCCTCTTCATACTGATAGCATTTGCCAGTTGTGTGTCTCATGCTTATGGCTCCTGATCTACCTTACAGAGAAGATGCAATGTCTTCAATGGTTCATGTCTGCTTTCCAAGAGGGGTCTAGGATGGCCCAAGCCTAAGTCATGCAATAACATATTAGTTGTAATGTGACCTCTGGTTACTGACCAGAGTTTGTTGAGTGGACATTTCATCAGGCCGTCTGAGACGTGATGTGTGCCTGTTTGAGAACTAGCTGAATTATAAACATGTGGATGGGAGCTGTGATATTAACTGGTGCTGCCTTGTTACATCTTATGGTTTTCCATGGTGTGACCCAAGTAGCATGAAGATAGGACCATGAGTTATGCATGTATGGAGTGTTGATTTACCTTTCCAGTTATGTGGTTGTAAGGTTGTTTGGCATGCTGACTTGTACTGGATTGGTGCAAGCCTGTGATTAAGCAAGGTATTGCCCAGCTTTTCTGTGATTCAAGCATGATCAAAACCTGCAATTCTGAGACATCTGATTGCCACTGTTGTTATTGTTCATCTGTCATGTGATCTGGTCACCAGTCACCAATGCAACTTCTGCAATCAATTGGCTGCTGTTTATACTCCTCTTTAGATTGGAGTGATGTTCTATGTGCAACTTTGATGTCAAACATGAGTCTCACCATTTGTACCCAGCTGAACACACTGAGGTGGGGGTCGCTGTGCCAATCAGTCTGCCGATTGTTTTTTACACAGTCTGATGAGGGGCATATGAGGGTTTCCATACTGCTGACCTCCCTGCTGATTGTTTCTAACATTGTCTGATGAGAGGCACATCAAGTTTTCCATACTGCTGACCTCTCATCCAGTTTGAAGTACCATGGTAACATCATTTATTTATTATGTAGTTGTGTTTAATGGCATGTCAGTTGCTGGGGTCATTTTGCTCCCAGCTGTAACAAATGCAAGGCACAGTGATGCTCTGGTGCACCAATCAGAAATGGCTTTGGGCACTAGTCAACACAGTGCTGTCCAGTGATCACCAGTGTCACTGTTTATAATAGTACAAAGCAAGCAGAACATTATTATGCAAGTTGTAATGTGCAGCTGCAAGGAATACTTTGCATGTAGATGAGGCAGTAGCATAGCCTTATTCATTGTACAAAGGTCAGGGAATGGAGAGAGATTCATTGATCTTTTGATAACATGCCTTTTTTGAAAGAATATCTTTAGTGATATGATGGTGATATTTGTAGGCTATTACTACTGCATTGTATCCAGAAACTTGTTTTTCAGGAAGACTCAGTTAGACCCAAGAAAGTAGAAGGACTAAAGCATTGTTGTTTTTTTCTTTAGCCATGATGCTGGATGAAAATGCTGTGGAGATGATCAGACCACTGACCCTGGCCTCCAGAGAGTCCATTGCCTGGTGCTGGGAGCCACAATTGAGCAGAATTGTTACAGTTTGCTATGAATGCAATATAGAAGTTATTAAAAAGTAATAGATACCTTTTTAAAGTAATATTCCCCCAAAGTTGGTTTTATTGAATACTGTCTGAATGCTATTGGAAGTCTGAAATGTTTTTGAGGTGTGCCAAAATCAAGGTTTAGTTGCCAACTGCAACTGATGGGTTTTTGTGGGCTTAAATGGGTACCAGCATGTTTCTGATCACTCTGGATGTATTCCTCCATCGTCATTGCTAGCTTGGCTTCAATTCCACTCACAGTGGCATTGTCATCAGTGTGTAGCCCCATCCCGGCTGGACGACAGGCGCTGGTGCGATTTGACCCTGACTACGGTCCAATATCGGGGTGCCCCTAGTGTAGTGGTTCATGCGTCTGCGTTAACCACTGCACGTCTGGGAACCCAGAGGTACAGGGTTCGCTTCCCCGCGGTGCCCGCCCTTCCTGCCAGGGTGAGAGGCAGGCGACGCCACATAGCCTCAGCAGCTGAGTGCGTTGTAAAGCCCCAATCACACACACACACAGTCCAATATCAAATAAAAAGAAATGGGACCATGAATATGTCTGAACTAGCAGCCTGACGACCAGTCCGCAAATGTGTTGTGATTACGCCAGCAGATGTAGCTGAAAGAAACGAGGAATATTTTGAGATGTGACAATGCCATCTCTTCCAGAGCCATGGGCAAGATTATGAAAAGTGGGAAGGTGGTGATCCTCCTCGGAGGTCGCTTTGCCGGACGGAAGGGGATCATCATCAAGAGCAACGACGAAGGCACCACAGACCGTCCTTATGGTCACTGTCTGGTAGCTGGCGTGGACCGCTACCCCCGGCAGGTCAAGAAGGGCATGAGCAAAAAGAAGATTGCCAGGCGCACTCGCATCAAGCCTTTCGTCAGGGTATGGGCTTATGATAAGATGATGTCAGTCATACAAACATTGATGTAATGTTTGCTAAGTTGATTGGTAGTCAGGTATGTTTGTATGTCTTCATGGTGGAGAATATTCAACAGAGCGTAAGGTGGTTACTACTGACATTAGATAATATGTCTGATTCCATTATTTTGCCCATGATTTGGGTATGTAGTATTCACGAACAGTGTGTGCCATTTGTGACCTGTTGCAAAAAAAAAAACACGCTCCCTGGTGTCATCTGTGGGCTAGTTCCATGGCCATTGTGCAAACAATGTCAGCCAATGACCTAGGTGCTCATTACCTGCCCTGTTATGACAGGTGTTGAGTTGTAGGCCTCATCCTGTCTGGATTGGTCTGTTTTGTGCTTGCTTTTGATCATTCCACTTCCTTTGGTTATGGCGTAATTCAAGACATGTTCGTTTGGGGCACAAAGCCATTGCTTCAATATCATCTCACTGATTCACACTGAGTGTTAGAAGATGTTCTGGGCTGCCCACGTCATGATATTATCACATTTTTCAGGTTGTGAACCTGAACCACATGATGCCGACCCGCTACACGGTGGACATTGGTTTCGAGAAGGATCGTGTGAACAAGGAAACCATCAAGAACCCCGTGAAGCGCAGGAAGGCCAAGCTGCACATCAAGCAGATGCTGGAGGAGCGGTAAGAACGACTTTGAATTCAATGTGTGCATGTTTTACCTAATTGTCTGGCAAATTCCAGATGCCTTGTCATTTGATGGTCGACCTCTTCGACAATCACCATTTTAAAGTTCTTTCACACCTCAACACCTTGGTGCGCTAATGAGTCAATGCTTCCTTATGGAAGGTCCGAGTGACGATCGTGCTCAGCGCTGAGCTGCCAAAAGCGGGCTACCTCTGCGCGACGCGGTGTGTCGCTGGATCGCAGGTTGCCGGCGCAGCACCCATCTGGTCGAATTGTTTTCGTTCGCTGCAGTGTGATTGCCTGCTTGCTGTACGACCTCTGAACAATGGGGACTCGTCTGGGGATGGTTTCTCAGCCATCTCCTGAGGTCTTAAACGCTGACTGGCCGATCGAATCGCAGTTGGTGTCCGCGTCGCTCTTCCCTGGCATTCCCCTGTCATCGGGATATTAATCATGTGCGTCATGGCGCATTATCTGGAGGCATCACTTCAAATATTTTAGCTTCATACATTTGTATATGTGGTCTGTTGCAAGTTGGCAGCGGTATCGTAAGATGAATTAGATTCGTCGAGAACACCCCTCCCCCTTCCTAAGTCGTGGGAAGCTGCACATGGGTCTTGATTTTCTATGGAGGAGGTGAATAGACTGGTTAAGAAAGTTGTATTCCAGGCTTATATTAACGGCTCTGAAGCACCAACCAGAAAAGCTGAAGAAATGTTCCCTCTGTCCCCCCCCCCCCCCCCCACCACACGCGAATGGGGTTCAGTGGTCGTGGTTCCCGCAAGGGCGAGTTAGAGCTGTTAGCCCTATGCATTGTTCGCTCTATCCAGTGAAAACTTTGTTCTGAGCTGACCCGAATTGCGGTCTTCAGAGATGTCGGTGCGCTGTTTTCTCATAGCTCGAAACGTTGCGGACGTGGGGACGCCCTGACACCACAGTCATAATGATGAGAACGTTAGGGATGTGACGGCGCATGGAGCGCATGATCGCCCCGTTCCGTCTGGAGCAGGTCCTGTCCTACATATATGTGCGGCACGACGGGGGTTGGGGAGGGCTCTGGGATCAGTATTTTTACGCCAAATGGTTAGGGATACTTTTGCAAGTCCTAAACTTGTATTTCGATCGTCTATTTATCGTCGGTTTGTGACTAGGCAGCGATATAGTTTCCTATTCAATGGGAGGGGGAGGGGGCTGTAGACCCTCCAAACGTTGGGAAGAAATTGGGCCGAGTCCAGGGAGAAAGTTTTGGAGCGTATTCTGGGGGTAGTTCTAGCAATGTTTCCCCGCTTATCTCCCGACACTTATCTCCCAAAACTGCAACGCTGGCTTGAGGGCGGGTCAACTACCATGGTAGTTTATTAGGTTTGTTTGCATGTTACTCACCTTGCTAATTACCTTGTTTGTTTTCAGGTACAAGACGGGCAAGAACAGGTGGTTCTTCCAGAAGCTGAAATTCTAAGATCCCTGTGTATGTCGGCTGATGAAATAAATTTAAAAAAAACAACCCACTATCTATGCTCTACTCCAACCGTGCGGCACGAAACTGCTCTTGAAAGGAACGTAGCATTCACGCACATGTCGTAACCATGGAGATGAGTGGGGACGAGTGCAGTGAACTGTTGGAGCTGACTGGCATTAGCGGTGCTGCGGTGCTGAGTTTGGCGGACTGGTTAGCGTGGTAATGTAGTGTCACGAGAAAGCGCAGCGTCGTAAAAACCGGCGATGCGCGTGTGGGTAGTTTAACCGGCGTGGGCCGCAGGCAAATGCTGATTTTATTCGTCGAGGAGAAGCTAACCCATCTCAGCAGGCTACTAGTTTCCAAAGTGACGCATCAGCTTAGACAAGTAACAACGGAGCCCGATACGAGGCGTCACAGTAACACTGGGACTTGGCCGTTTGCCTGCTGCGCGGCCGCGGCCACGCCGTCTGTAAAGTGCATACAGTTGTCATACTAGCTACATCGGGTGAAAGAATCGCAAACGCGAAAACCTCGTGGAACAGCGTGGCAACAATTGGAATGGATTCCTAGTCCGAATCAAAACACTAAGGTAGACCGAGTGGCAAATGTCAAAAAACAAAGGAGGAAAAATCGTAAAATATTTGTTTAGAATGCCATGTATGAAATTCGAACGTTCTCCGGTAAGAACCATGTAAGAATCCATGGTTTTATACCGATAAGATTCCACGTCCGTTAGGCTAGCAACGCATTCGTATCCGAATTCGGCGTCGAATATCGATTCCACTTCAATGTGTTCCTAGCCCAAACACAGCCCGCTTTTACCGAAAATGCGGTCCATTTCGCTCCTCCGCAAGAAGCATGGTCTCCGGAGGTCACTTCACCAGGTCCGGCAGTGACAAGGATGCTTCGGAGCTTCCGGCATACGAAAGGTTTCAGATGAAAGCCACGCATACGTACTAGGTAATGACGAAAACTCCAAAGTCAACTTTCAAGGTTGCGTTCAACGTTGAAGGGCGGGCTAGTGCTGCACCACCATTGTATAGTTCTCAGTTCTTCTGCAGCAGCCTTCTACAGTCTACTTATCTACTTCCACGTACAGCAGCTGTTGAGGGAGCTCGATGTGTGACAGTGGGGCCGGAGTGGTTCGCGGGACGCCTCTCAAAGTGGCTGTAGCGGCAGGACGTGAGCTGCCTGTCGCTCGGTGCGGGCCTTCCAGCGCGACGTCGCTGGGATGACGACAGCGGCAGCTGCCAGCCTCAGCTCTGACTGGCGGGTCCGAATGACCTGGCTGCCAGCGCTCGGAACGGAACTGTATTGTGCGACGCAGCAAGTCGCATAAGGTGGTCGCCAAACCACGCAAAGTAATGTTAGGCCCCCGTTTACGGCCAACACCGCTCTTTCCGGTGTGTGTTCTGGGTCGATGATTTTTGTTTGATTTAAGCCATTTTATGATAAAAAGTCGTCAATTTCAGCTCCTAAAACATCCGTCAATATCGTGTTGTCTGTATTTAGATGTCTCGATCACGGAATGTCGGTAGTGGTGTTGCTTGCGAACAGAAATGGGACCCATCATGTAGGAAAAGCGAGCATAAATTACGTCTTTTCACCCACTTCATTGCCAATTACTAAAACCTTTGTCGATGCATAAATGTCCTAGTTCGTTTCCACGCTTGCAACAGCATGTTATGCCCTTTGTAGGTGACTCACGCTCGGTGTAGGTTTGTGGCGGACACATTTGGGTGGAAAAAACAAGCACCTAGCTTCGGAACATTACTGAGTATCTGGTGATCAGCGCCGTACTGAAGTGGTTCTATGTAAAGCAAAACACCACATGCGTCATTGTGTCAAGAAGCACTCTATAATCTCTCAAGTCTCCGAAATCTCTCCCGGAGCATACGCAAAAGATAATAGCCCGTTATGGCAAGGACTATGCACTGGGTTTATCCCGAAGCTGTGCTTTTGGCGATGAGTGGCAATCATGCAGATGAATGGAGGAACTGAAAAACTGACAGTTTAAGGCGTCGAAGCGTACGTGTGAATGGAAGTGGGCTAGGTTTGTTGTACAGTTGTTATTAATGACCGAATATCTGGCGGTCAATAACGCGCAATGTCCTAATTTGGCGTTGTAAGGGTTTTAACATCCTCAAAACACATTCTGATTCTGGTGCTATATTTTTGCATCATAACTTACACAAGCATCCTCGTCACTGATAACAGACACATGAATGGCGTAGTCACTGATGAACAGCTAATCGCCCTTTTATAAAAACACGGTATTGACGACGATACGACACACAAATGACAACATTGTACAAAAGATAGGGGTGAAACTTGTAACAGGGAACACATCCATGTGGATATCGTTTCAGACATATGTACCTATCTACATTTATATATATATATATATATATATATATATATATATATATATATATATATATACATGGGTAGGTAGAGATGTAAGTTAAGGATGTCCAAAAAATGTTACTAGTTGTAGCGAGGCCTGTAGCCGACAATCACACGCTCATACTGAGGCTCGTAGGAAGCACGGACCTCCTCCTCATCTTCCTCATCCTCCTCCTCATCTTCCTCATCCTCCTCCTCCTCCTCCTCAGCGGGAGCTTCATATGTCTCCTCGTCGTCGTCGTCATCAGACACCTCAGGGGTGGGGTACTCGGTGGGCACGGGGGTGGGCAGGTGGTCGCCCTGCGGCTGGAAGCCGCCCTCGCCCGCCGAGTACACCACGGTGTAGGTGACGCCGTCGGGGGCCACGTAGCTGAACTGGCCGCTCACACTGTAGCTGTCGTCATCCTCCGTCTGGCCAAACTCCGACACCGAGATGCCGTTCTCAGTTTCAAAACTGCAATCATGACGAAACAGCTTAATGATGCAAGTAATAAGCGATGTGTACGTATTCAGTGAGCCGCGTAAGCATTTTTGAGAGTCACGTGGATAATTGAATGGGGTAAGTAAAGAATAGCGGCGATATTGGTTTGGTGAAACCAAGCATATGCGGAACACCGACACGAGCGGGTCTAAAAGACAATCGGCAAGGACATGTGCCGGCAGCCAGTGTGATTCCATTGTGACCCGTGTTCATGTTTGTATGCTTAACTGATATTTAGCCTTCCGTGTATTTACCACTTTATTTTAATGGCCTCAGACACGAGCACAGGACAAACGGTGCGATGCATGAATGGCTCTAATCAGAAATGAACTTAATGGCATGGTCTTCAAAGATGACAACTTCATTTTCAACATTGTTTTGGCCCGCCATTTGTGACTCCCGAGTTGGTATCTGACCATGAATATATCGGACTAATTTTGATGTCATAACGACGGTGTGATACGGGCAGCATCAAAGTCTTCCTCATTGACTTACGACTGTTGGTAAGAGTGGTCGTCGTTGTGGTCGATGTTCTGTCTGAGAATCTCGATGATGTCCCCTTCGTAAGCAGAATCAGACGGAGCGGCGGCTGCCACGGCCAGAACGGCGGCGAACACGAACTGAAACGAAATGGACGTTAGATGTATGCCTCGCACTATTTAAGAAATTTATTTCTGTCAGGGAATAGGTAACACTGTGCCGTGAGAAGTGTATAAAGGCCACTTTACATTTTTTTACTGTGATATTCAAATTCAATCGTGTCTTGTGGGATGGTGTGAAAACTTTCAAACTTTACTCGCGTGTCATTGTTTTAACGACGCCAGTACTCACCAGCTTCATGCTGAGTAGATGCAGTTCGTCAGAAGTGGACTGATATCTTTACCGCCCGTCGCTGTGTCTTTTATACTGGCAGCTGTTACTAGGTCATCGCAGACAAGGACGCCGTCGAGGTCACCAGAGACTGGTGAGTGGGGCCGGTGGGGCGAGTTTGCCCGATATTTCACATCTTAGAGGACCAACCAATGACGGTCCTAACTACAGGGGTGATGAGAGCATGCATCCCTCACTTTTCAACACCCTTTGGCAGCCAACCTGACCCCGCGCGACACTAAGGTGCCCTTACTAGCATCTCTAGTAGTACATCAAGTTTGACTGACTATATGTGATCTGGCTGCTCCTGATTCTTGCAAACGTCCACCAGATACTGATCTAGTTTTATGGACACGTCATGATAGTCTGGTCCCCGCATGTTGGTTTCCATGTGTGCATAAAAGCTTTGTGATATGCAAGGGCAACCATGCATTTTCTGAGACTCTTTGTGCTTGCAGGGGTATTTCAACATCCTTCGTTGTTTTCGGGAAGCCATAGATAAGTTCGCATGCATTCATTTACTTTATTTTAAGCTAGATAACGTTTATTAACGTTGCAAGAAATTCGTTTGTCATTTTCAACGTAGTGTAGATCAGTCGGACCGAAAACATTCAAATATGGCGAAATACGAGACGTGCTCAACAATATATAATTAAACGTGTATCATCAGTTAAAACATTATGCATCTGAGGATGAGGTCTAAGTACCAAACACATACGGACATACGCACAATCCATTTCCAATCATTTTGACACCAAAGCAAGCTCAAGAAATTGAATCAACCTGTCATTGGTGACTGAATAGGTCTTCAGTGATACATGGCCTAAGCTGTGACGATTGATAGCCCCGTAATGCATTTTGGAAAGTACACTAAACGTACATTGTTGCTCTCAGCGGAGATTATGGTATGTGACATTTTTATTAAGTTTGGCACGAACAGCACGTGTGCTTGAGCCGTAACCGCTAGCGTTATATCCTTTTCGGTCAAATAATTTCATTAAAAGCTTGCTCCTCAGGTTGCTGAACGTGTGAATTTGATCTAGCTGATGTTCCTAAGATGGCTTTTTAGGAGGACTTTTGATCACGCGTTTATTAAAGAGCTCGGATATTTTCCCCACGGCGACTACGGTAGGCGGCTTTGTAACTGAATCTTAATGACAGCGTATAAACGTGAAAGTTTCGCTTTCATTGGTATGACATATATGGAGTAATAGGAAGACAGGCTCATGAGGGGCCACATACCTAACGTCACCTGGCCTGCGGTCGAGTTCACAGGTGAATCAGGGATCACCAAGCCGAATTTCTTCAAATGGCTGCTGAGAAGACGGGGTCTGGTCACGGCTGGTTGCGTCATAGAAATGAAAAGAAGGCGAGAGATCACCGATTGACAGCTTCGTAGATAGCACAGTACTAATAGCATTGTTCGTCGTAGAATAAGCGCTAGAATGGAAAGAGAGATGGATTGATATTTCGGCTCCACGCCAGATTTTGTCTTCGCTTTTATTTTGTCAACCCCAAAAGCGTATCACTGATTGCTTGGGACCCAGCGGAGCGGTGATTTGCAAAGATCAGGCGTCTAATTTTACTCTGTCTTGCACGGATTTTGCTCTTGTTTTATTCTTGCGCACATAATGGGATTGTCGGAGCACTAAAATCCGCCAGTGTAAATCTATCACTGGGGGCTAACTCTGGCCGGACTGCACGTAAACTGATGGCCATAATACGGCGATCCAAAAAACACTTAAATCCATACCCCAGATTTACTACCGTGTGCATTCGACAGCACTGGCTTAGGACTATCAGATGCAAGTGAAACACACTCATCGGAATTTCTTTAAGATTTTACTCAGTTGACCCCCCCCCCCCCCCTCGAATAGCTTATCGCCGCTGCTGCCGGGCGGGCGGAACTGTCGATTCACACAAACACGGCATACGATTTGTAACCATTTACATTTGCGCACGGAAAGTTTAACCTTGCGTAAACAATGTTATTCTCAGAGCACCCTCGGTCGGTGATGCAATTTTTTGTATCGGCTGACGTGACCGCCTTTGCTCAAATTACCCTATCACAGCACACAACTAATGGTGACGGACCACCATGCAGATTGATGTCTATAAAACCTCGGCTCTTGAAAACAAAGCATAATTCAACCGAGAGATTGGAATTCTGCGCACTCAATGCCACTCTTATGGTGGTATTGGGTGCCAGCGCAACACACTTGTCATATTTTATTTTCATAATTAATTCTGTCTACATCCCCAATGCGCATCACTTTATGGCTGATGGACCACCGAAGTGTTGATTTGCAAAGATATGACCTGCAATTTCTTATATTTTTACTGTCGCGCTGCAGGTGCTACCTAGCGCACACGATGTCGGAGCACTACCGCCGGGAATGTAAACTTCTGATCGGCTGACATGGCATTGTTAGTCAAATCACCCTTTGACAGCACGCACCTAACGATACGCACGCATGCAACAGCATGTTATGCCCTTTGTAGATGACTCACGCTCGGTGTAGGCTTGTGGCGGACACATTTGGGTGGAGGAGCCAAGCACCTAACTTTAGAACATGGCTGGATATCTGGTTAACAGCGACGTACCGAAGTGGTTCTATATGAAACAAACACCACATGCGTCATTGTGTCAAGAAACACTCTATAGTCTCTGATTTCTCAAAATCTCTCCCGGAGCATACGCAAAAGATAATAGTCCGTTGTGGCACGGAATATGTACTGAATTCATCCCGAAGCAGTGCTTTTGGCGATGAGCGGCAATCATGCAGATGAATGGAGGAACTGAAAAGACTGACAATTTAAGTCGTCGAAGCGTACGTTTGAATAGAAGTGGGTTAGGTTTGTTGTACAGCTGTTGTTAATGACCGAATATCTGGCGGTCAATAACGCGCAATGTTTTAATTTGGCGTTGTAAGGGATTCAGCATCCTCAAAACACATTCCGATTCCGGTGCTATATTTTTGCGTCATAACTTACACTAATATCCTCGTCGCTGATAACAAAAACATGAATGGCGTAGTCACTGATGAACAGCTAATCGCCCTTTTATAGAAACACAGAGTATTGACGACGATACGACACACAAATGACAAAGTTGTACATAAGATAAGGGTGAAACTTGTAACAGGGAGCACATCCATGTGCATATCGTTTATCGCACATCGCATATTTATTATATATATATAGCAATATATATGCATATATATATATATACATATATATATATATATATATATATATATATATATATATATATATGTGTGTGTGTGTGTGTGTGTGTGGCTGTGTGTGCGTGTGTGTGTGTGTGTGTGTGTGTGTGTGTGTGTGTGCGTGTGTGTGTGTACGTGGGTGAATGTGCGTAGGTGTGCGTGTAGGTATACGCATCCTACTCTCACCACAAATAACGCATGGCGTCAACAGGGCGGTTAAGGATGGCCAGAAAATGTTACTAGTTGTAGCGAGGCCTGTAGCCGACAATCACACGCTCATACTGAGGCTCGTAGGAAGCACGGACCTCCTCCCCTTCCTCCTCCTCCTCCTCCTCCTCCTCAGCGGGAGCTTCATATGTCTCCTCGTCGTCGTCGTCATCAGACACCTCAGGGGTGGGGTACTCGGTGGGCACGGGGGTGGGCAGGTGGTCGCCCTGCGGCTGGAAGCCGCCCTCGCCCGCCGAGTACACCACGGTGTAGGTGACGCCGTCGGGGGCCACGTAGCTGAACTGGCCGCTCACACTGTAGCTGTCGTCATCCTCCGTCTGACCAAACTCCGACACCGAAATGCCGTTCTCAGTTTCAAAACTGCAATCATGACGAAACAGCTAAATGATGCGAGCAATAAGCGATGAGTACGTACTCAGTGTGCCGTGTAAGCATTTTAGAGAGCTATGTAGATAAATGAATGGCATAAGCAGGGAACAGTGGCGATATTGGTTTGGTGAAACAAAGCATATGCGGAGCACCGATACGAGCGGGTCTAAAAAGACAATCGGCAAGGGCGTGTGCCGGCAGTCAGTGTGACTCCATTGTGACATGCGTTCATGTTTGTATGCTTAACTGATCTTTAGCCTTCCGTGTATTTGCCACTTTATTTTAATAGTCTCAGACGCGAGCACAGGACAAACGGTGCGATGCATGAATGGCTCTAATCAAAAATGAACTTAATGGCATGGTCTTCAGATACACCAAATTCATTTTCAACCTTGCTTTGGCCCGCCATTTGTGACTTTCCCGAGTTGGTATCTGACCATGAATATATCGGATCAATTTTGATGTCATAGTGATGATGCAATACGGGCAGCGCCAAAGTCTTCCTCATTGACTTACGACTGTTGGTAAGAGTGGTCGTCGTTGTGGTCGATGTTCTGTCTGAGGATCTCGATGATGTCCTCTTCGTAAGCAGAATCAGACGGAGCGGCGGCTGCCACGGCCAGAACGGCGGCGAACACGAACTGAAACGAAATGGGCGTTAGAAGTATGCCTCGCACTATTTAAGAGGCTCATTTCTGTCAGGAAATAGGTAATGCTGTGCCGTGAGAAGTGTATATAGGTCACCATACATTTTTTGCCGCGGTAATCAAATTCAATCGTGAGTCTTGCGGGATGGTGTGAAAACTTTCAAACCTTACCCGCGTGTCACTGTTTTAACGACGCCAGTACTCACCAGCTTCATGCTGAGTAGGTGAGTTCGTCAGAAGTCGACTGATATGCTTACCGCCCGTCGCTGTGTCTTTTATACTGTCAGCTGCTATTGGGCCATCGCAGACAAGGTCGTCGTCGAGGTCACCAGAGACTGGCGCGTGGGGCCGGTGAGGCGGGTTTACTCGATATTTCACATCTGAGGGGACCAACCAATGGCGGTGCTAACTACAGGGGTGATGAGAGTATGCACCCCTCAATTTGCAACACCCTTTGACAACCGACTTACCCCCGCACGACACTAAGGCGCCCCTACCAGCATCTCTAGTA